CATAAATTATAAAAATTACCCTTCGATCGCTTAGCTAGGAAAGAATCGAGAAATAGTTAGAAAAGAGAAGGAGATTGTTGAAATTTGTATATTTATTTACATTACGAGCTAACGATTCTATTTTCTTCGGTTTACGAGCAGCGCGCAATCGATGCACGCCTAATTCAGTGACTAACGCGACGAATTGATCAGATGGTACAACGTTAGGGTGGTGCAACAAAGAGATTTAAAATAGCTTCCAACGACCTACATTCATAGGTTGTTGTATTCACTTAAAGAGCCTGTGTTGCACGATAAATTTAAAAAAAAAAAAACAACTTTATCAATAACAAAATTATCCCACGATTAATTCATATTGAATTGAAACACGTTCCTTCTCAGTTTTGTACCTTTCGAGGAACGAGGCATTGTTGAAAGTTATGTCAAATTATCACGATATGTATCCTTCGTGCATAAAATATAAAAAAAAAACCCACGAACCTTATCGTCTCTCATCTTGTAAAAGAAGAAAATTAAAGTTATATTCAAAAACAAGTCACACATGTACAAAAAAAAATATATATATATATATAATTAACGCATACATTGAACTTTTCAAGTAACGTTTCTCGTTTTATTGAAAGAAGAAAATTACTGGCAACGAGAAATTGTTTAAAAATTACACTTGGAAAATAATTATCTGGAGTACACATTATCGCTTGCGTTCGATAGACAAACGAGAGTAACAATTGCAATTCGATTTCGGACAATAGGATTTAATCGAGCTTTCCTACTTCACGTTTTAGAAAAGGTCCGTGTGTTTCATTCAGCTTCTTCGCAGGTGGCGTAATACGGTTTCGAACAATGACACGGCATTCAATAGTTTAATTCAACGCCCATTGTCCGCTGTTTAATCGCTTGAACAGCCAGCAAACGACGAAGAGTCGTTCTCTGTTGGTCATTGAAAAATCCAACTAACTCCGGCATTCATCGTGGCCATACCTCTTAAATAATAACGTTACAACAATACGTCATATATATAATGATAAATATGATAATATAAATGATAAAGAATGAGTAGAATAATTATCTTACGCTTATGAAAGTCTGTGCTTCACGTTGCTTAATTTGGGGAACTTTTAATTCGATTTAATTTCACTCGTTAATCTCTGTTAGATAGAATATAAAATTCTTAAATACCTCAGATTGCATATAATCACGTGTGATTCCACGATACCACGTAATGCGTTTTTCTTGCAAAAAGTTAGACCATTCTTCCCGATAGACGCCGATAGTAAATTTGTGTGAAAATTTATGGAAGCGATATCCATATCATTGGAAATTGTCTGCATAAAAATCCAACTATGCGCGTCTATCTATCACGCTGTAAAATCGAACGATTGAATATTAATCATTAAACGTATATTGTACAATGAACGAAACTGGGAAAGTTCTTCGGGCAGAAACGTCGTCAAACTTGTAGATTCAAAGAAAAAACTCTAAAATTGGTAGATCAACGAAATAAATATATTTTTTGATCAAAGACAAAGAGAACTAATCAGTCTTTTTTTCTTCTTCTTCTTCTTTTTACAGTCCGGGGCGAAGATCAACATCTCGGACGGTTCGTGCCCGGAGCGAATAGTGACAGTGACCGGTCCGACGAACTCGATCTTCAAAGCTTTCACGCTGATCTGCAAAAAGTTCGAGGAATGGTGTTCGCAATTCCACGACATCCAGGGAAGCGGCGGTGTGCCCAGGCCGCCCATCACTCTCAGGCTGATCGTGCCTGCGTCGCAGTGTGGCTCTCTGATCGGCAAGGGTGGTTCGAAGATCAAGGAGATCCGCGAGGTGACCGGCGCCTCGATCCAGGTCGCCTCTGACATGCTGCCTAATTCGACGGAACGTGCTGTCACCATATCCGGTACCAGCGAGGCTATCACGCAGTGCATATATCACATCTGTTGTGTTATGCTAGAGGTACGTGTTCCAGGGATTGTCACTCTGGAGCCGGGTATTCCGGAGTTGGAGATTGCAACTCTCACCCTTTAGCTGTGTGCTCTCGCCCTTTGCGAGCCTTTTGAAGTAAAAAAAATCTTGCTTTTTTTGGAAATTGAAAAAGTATTCTTCTATGCACCAATGAGAATGGACTCGAAAATTGTGTGATATGCAATTTAAGTAGAACTTTTCTTTCGCTATTAATCATGCTGTAATAAAATGTAACATCACTGGCAAGTGATCTAAATTTCGGTACACGTTTTTATGTACTTTCTACAAGTACTCTTTTATTATTTCTAAGTTCTCATTTGGTAGGTCTTTGTTTATTTTAATGATGTTCATAATTTTTCATACCAGGATGAAAGTTAAACATAAATTTTAATATAATCATACTAAAGTATATATTATATTAAAATTTAAATTATACTAGAACAAAATTTGTGTTCATACTGGGTAGGCAAGTTGGACCTGCTAGAATAAAATCGCAGAGGGTGGAGAGTCTTCAGTGGCTGTCAAAAAGTTTTTTTTTTTTTTAGATTTTACTAGAATCTCACAACCTTCGTATCGTGCAGAGATGAGAAAATAGCTCGCAAAAAAAAAAAAAAA